AACGAGGCAGAATGCATCATTTAAATACACATAGAACGATAAAGAAACTAGCACTTACCAGGAGGAAAACCACCCAAGGAACTCTGGTACACTCGGATGGAAAACTTATAGCGGAAATGACAGAAAAGCTGACGACGTGGAAAGAATATATTGAATTGGACCAGAACATTGCAATATTGACGAATCTGAACGCCGCTATACGCAATAAGCAAATAAAAAGACCGCCTGGACCTGATAAAGTTCGCGTAGAACTGTATGAACAGTAACACGGATTTTCTCAATCTCATCAATGATACAGGAAAAATACCTCCTGACTAGTTAGTCTCTTCTTTCATTACCTTCCCTAAAGAGCCTCGAGCAAATGCCTACGACGCTTTAGGGACATGAACCGTGACGTCAGACAAGGTTAATAGAACTAATGAAGGGAGTAAGCATTGACAGCAAATATATTTGGAACCAATCAGCATACGTAAATTTAGCCGGCAACGAAACGGGAAAGGTGACGATACAAAGACAACCTTATTCAACATCTTCTCTGAAACGATATTAAAAGGGATTAAAATGAACGGCGAAAACATACATCCGATGCGCAGATGACAGTGTTATCCTAACAAGTAGCCTAACAGATCTTCGGACTCTTTTTGAGAACATTTATACAACGAGCGAGGAATATGAACACCTCTAAGGCAAAACATATGACCATCAGCAAAAACGCCCAGCTTCCTATGGTTTTGACTCTAAATCAAGAATCTCTAGAACGAGGCGAAAGATACACTGACTTGAGGTCAATGGTAAATGTAAACTGGGAGCAATCCGTAGAAATTAGATGCAGAATCGAGAAGGCAAGAACTGTATTCAGAAACATAAAAATAATTTTCGTCAGCATACACCTAAGCCTACAACGGAAATTAAGAATGGTCAGATGTTATATCCTTTCTGATATGAAGCGCTCGAAATGTAGATCTCCCGGAGAATTCTGCACATCTCATGGATCGATCATGTAGCACGAACAAAGAATTACTTAGAAGAATGGGCAAAACGAAAGAGGTAGTATTCACAGGGAAGAGAAGAAACATATTATGAGGAACAATAAATATCTGCTACTACAACTTATTCAAGAGGGAAAGGTCGACGGCAGAAGGGGACCAGGAGGGCGAAGGAACTCGTGGCTGCAAAACAATGTTAATCGCCAACGTGCGCAGAGAATAAGGCACTAAAAGAAGAAGAAGAAAGCCTATCTTGTTGTAGGGGGCTGAACATACAGGACAAACATCCTCCGAAACATCAGGAGATGGAGCGGGGTGCCCTACGTGGCAACCATATTTTGTCGGGCAGAAGACAACGCCCGTACATTTATTTGAGGAATGTGCGGAAGATCCCCAACGTGCAGGATGCATATGGCACCGGAAGAAGAAGAGTAGATATTAGCAATTTCGTTCCGCATAATACGACCCATGTACCCACTGCAATTTGCGGGGTTTGATGTTGGTTACAACGTCGAGGTCTTTATTCATTCTTTGCAGAACTTTGATATTCGCCACTCGAGCTGTGCAACGAATTTTAAATAGTCTTCATATACGACGTTTATTTATGTTTAATTTCACAATCAATTTTATCTGCTTTGGAAATCATAAACTTTTTCTTGTTACGCCGTCTGCCTCCGGAGGTTGGCGATCCAACTGGTTATCACAATTCTGCAAACTGTAGTTCGGAAGATTTCAGTTGAGGTCCTCCCGAACCATCGGCCCAGATCCTTCATCTATGAATTTTGTCTCCTGCCTTCGGATCTTTTTCCTGCGATAATCAGTATGAGCAGTCCGTATCGACTTCCCCTCATGATACTTCTGTTGCAGTGGAGTTTGCGCTCTTTGAGGGTCCGCAGCAACTCCTTCGCCTTGCTCATCCAATCAAGTACCTCAGCATTACTTTGTCTTTCCATCCCGGGTATTCGGTGGATGCGTCATACATAAGTACAGGGAAAACATCCTCAGCTAGAAGTCGACTTTCTAAACAAAAAATTATTTTTCTTCGAACTTTTAAGCAGAAACTGGTCAAAAATTGTTTATAGTCAGTAATTAGAGATTTGATCCTTCTTGATCGCAAAATTTTGCTCTGAAAGTTGAAGTTTCAGCGTTTTGAGGAGCGAGCGGATTTGAAAGTTGGAGCCTTACATCTTCCGCTTGAAGAGAAATTTGTGAGGGTTAAGATCACGCGTTGGAGATGAATGAGAATTGCTTCTGTAAAGTGCAAATATTGAATTAATTTACATAATGTGATGAAATGGAAGCAGATTCTTCGAGTTTAAAGGCGCAATTTTCAGCGAAAACACGGAATTTTGGCTTTGAAGCTTTTCACTTTTGAGTCCCATTTCCCAAGTTATTCAAGTGTTTCCTCTATGGTTTATTGCAAATTTTCATTTTGCAGTCGAAGTTTCAAGCGTGAACTTAGGCCAAAGTCAGCTTTGAGCCAATCATCAGCTTCAAGTCGAAATTTCTAATCGAGGTGTCGAGCTTTTAGGCAAAAAACTGTTTATAGTCAGTAATTCGATATTTTGATCCCTCTTGATCCCAAAATTTTGCTTTCAAAGTGTAAGTTTCCGCGTTTTGAGTACAAAGCGATTGGAAAATTAGAGTCCGAAATTTGAGACTGCATTCAAGAGCTTCCACTTGAAGAAACACTTTTGAGGCTTTAATGTATCAAGTTGGAGCTGAGAACTTGATGTTAATGTTAAATTGCTGTGTTAAAGTGCAAATATTGAGTGCATTTAGCTAAATAATGCGGTGAAATGAAAGTAACGGAAATAGTAAATGGAAAGAACGGAATTTTAGATTTGAAACTTACAACTTTTGAATCGCATTTTTTAAGTCATCCAAGTGTTTTCCTCAACGATTTTTGCGAATCTTCAACATTATAGTCAAAGTTTCCGGCATGTTCTTGCGGAGTTTGTCAAATTCAACATTGCGGACAAAATCATCAGCTAGAAATTGACATTTCTAATCAAAACTTTACTTTTAAGTCGAACTTTTAAGCAGAAAACTGCTGAAAAATTGTTTATAGTCAGTAATTAAAGAGTGAATTTTAATAACGTGCTGAGATGAAAGTAGATTTATTAGGTTTGAGGTGGCACTGTTTAGCTGAAAGTCAACTGAAGCTGGAAAGCTGAAAGTACGCAACAACTTGAAAGATTGATAAAATAAAAACAATGGATCCAAAGTCCAAATTTTTAACTCGAATGTTAAGCTTAAATTAAATACAGTATACATACAAGGATGAAAAAACGACACATAGCAAGAATTTTAGAGTTTTTGCTCAAAATTTGCCTTTAAAAGTTGAAATTTCCAGTTAAAAGTCAGCAATTCCAATTGAGACGGAACATTCCTGAGGTGAAACTCAAACATACATTTTTCAAATGTGTATTTGAAAAATAAAAAGTGAAAAATTTCAATTCCAGGTTTGAAAATCTGCCGTTTCCAAAAATTGAAAAACTGGGTCAACTCGAAATTTCAAGCTGGTATGATTTGGAACTGTAAAATTCCACTCCGAAGGCAACATTTCCACATGCAAGATGCAGAACTGAAATGCAAAATTTTGAGATTTTAATCGAAATTAACGTTTCGAAAGAAAAAAATCAACATTTCAGTTCGAATGTCGTGATTTCAAGCGAAATTGCGACCTTAAAATCAAGATGGGGAAATGGATTGCAACAAAGGATAATTTTAAACTATTAACATTTAAGTACTGAGTTAGAAACTTCAAGTTTCGAAGTGTAGCTCAAAACATGAATTTTACAGCTTTTGCCCGAAACTTGGATTTAGAAGTTGAACTTTCACCACGAGAAGCGTGCGAAGCATTCAAGCGCTTCCACTTAAAGACAAACTTTTGAGGCTTTAAGGTATCAAGTTGGAAATGAGAATTTCAGCGGTAATTGCTAATTTACAATGAAAATATTGAATGCATTTAAATGATGCGCTAAAATCAACGTAGATGCTTCGAGTTTCAAGCCGCGATTTGCCACTAAAGAGCCACATTTTGGATTTGAAACTTTCCACTTTTCAATCACATTTTCCAAGCGTTTTCCTAATAGCAAATTTCTAATTTTGCAATCGGACCTTCCAGAGGGAACTTGGGGTTTTATCGCAGACAACATTGAGGACGAAGTCCTCAGCTTGAAGTAGAATTTTGTATCTGAAAGTGAGCTTCCAAGWCGAGCTTTTAAGCGAAGAACTGACGCAAACATGATTAAAGTSACTAATTARAGATTTTGACATGGAAATGATTGCTTCATCTCCAAGATTTGTCCCTCAAAGCTAAAGTCTCAGAATTTTGAGGACAGAGACGGCTTTGCAAGTTTGCGGCCGAAATTTGAGGATGGAGCCAAAAACTTCCACTAGAACTTAGATGATGAGAGGACCTGAGAGGGCCTGACGCAAATACCGACCATTTCGTAGTTAAAGCTGGTCAGGGTAAGAACTTTCATTTTAAAAACTAAAATAACGGCCCAAAAACAAAATGGAACACCGACAAACTATCAGAGGAAACCAGCAAAAGGTATATTCAGTGCTAAGACTCAAATGGAACGAAGCGTCAGCGAAAAAAATATGTTTGATTTTACTAAGTTATTGTCTTGATTTCACATATTTTGCATGCGTTTGCCTATGAAAAAATAGATCCAATAGGCTACCAAACAAACATGGGACCATTTCAAAATAATGCTTATTAATAAAGTTGAAATTAGATTTTCAACTGTTAATAGATTTTAGAAATTTTGTAAAAAAAATATTTCTGTTACAAACAGAAATGACGCCAATTTTGAATCATACTGTTTATTCAATCAATAAAAAAAATACGTAACAAATATTGCACATTCGTGTAGAAATTCACCTCAAAGCACGGGGCGTCCGAATATTTTGTGATTATCTGATTAGTAGATACATTTAGATCAATAATATCAAAACAAGAACCTTCTGTTGTGTATCCCAGTTAACGGTTAGTCATAAATCTTTCGTTGAGTAAACATGGCAACTCGTTTCCGTCACGTGACATGCATAATGACTTGAGCATTGAACTCCCGAATTTTGGGGCCCAAAAACAGGCCCCCGCGATCAATTAATCCCGAAATCCTGGGGAACGTAGGGAGTTGCCACGGAAACGCGATGCGTCGTGACGCAATTGTCCGTCAGTTGCACTAGCAGAAACCTTATTGGATTGATGTGCTCGCTTTATTTTTTGGTTGTCTTCAATTCTTCTTTATTTACTCTCACGGGATCTACAGGGTGATTCATAAGTGGCGTCATTCCTGATGAAATGTTGTCTGTGGGTGTACTGAAAAAAATAGTAAAAAAGCTGTTATTAAAAACTGAGAAATTTGCAAAAAAACCGTATCATAAGGACGACAACGCAACAATGTTTTTCAAGACAATATGCCTAATTAACATTATGTAACCTGTTGCTTCCTAATAGGGTGTTTTTGTTGTATCAAAAATTCCTACAAACTGAACATTAATCTATGGTAATATATACATATGAAAGATTAAATAAGTTTATACTATCTATCTATTGCTATTTTGTTAAATATTTAATAAACAAATTCAGCTAAAGTTCAAATTATTCATGAATCTCTAAAACGCAATCCTATTGGTTGTGACGTCTGTGGTCATATAAATGGCGGATTTTTTAMGTTCTGTGCATAGTGTTTAGTTGTGTGGTTGTGTTTCATTAATTATTTTGTGAATTTAAATAATTTATAGTTTGTGTTAAACTAAAAAATGGCTTYAGAARGATTCCTTAAAGCGTTAACAAAMAATTTACCATTTGTACATATTTTTATGGTTACCGAATTTCAAATAAACGACGAACGCTTTAATTCAGCCTAATTTAAGGGTCTCAAAGCAGCAGCGTAAGTAAAAAGCCGTAAATTCATTATTAGTTACTCTCTCCTTAAGATACTAATATGTCTGTATTGGTTTAAGTTAGGTAAATAATATATAGAATTTCACTTATTCAACTTAACCTAACTTATACACATGGCTGCTTTAAAAGTAAAATGAACTCTTAAATTTGTATTTTTTGCATCACGAGAAGAATATGGTGATATCGGATTTGTGGAATTAAAACGCGAGGGTTCCTTGTACACTGTACAAGGTAGAATTTGCCCAGAACACAGAGTACGATTGAAGGCATATTCTGTCTGCCTCATCATTAGCTTTTTCTCGTACTTTCATTAAAATGATCCTTGCAACAAAAAAACATTGATTTTGATTTAGGAACATCACGTCTAGCTGCTTTGAATCATAAACTTTACGTGCATAATCATGGGGAACGGTTAGAAAAAGTTTGTTTGGAGCACTTATTGAGGTATTCTTGCATCCTGGCACAAAACAACACTTATTTTGTGATCCATACATGTCACTATTTTCCATTATGCAAGATAATAATAATAATCAATAAAATAATGATTATCACAATAACTTAAATAATAAAACAAAGCTGCAAAAACAACAAAATGAACACGAGACACTTTGTTCATATGACCAGCTACGTCACAATCGGGATAGGCAACCGACGATACGGATTCGGCAATTCTGGAGGAAATATCTGATTTAAATTTAAATTCGCTTTAAAATTATTATGAAGACTTTTTTGCAAAAAAAATTATATCAGTGTAGTGTTTGTCATAACTACTTTCTATATATCAACATTTAAAAAAGTGAAAACACCCTATTATTAAAAACTCCCGCAAACATGGAGAAATACAGAGTCATAATCAAATAGACCGGATTCGTTAAATGTAGGGATCTGCTATTTTCCAAATGTCAATATTGTCAACGAGAAGTTGTTCTTGATTGTCATCATAACCGCGAATTGATGTGTTGAAATAAACATACATATATATTTCTTATGTAAAGCGTCTTATTTGAAACCTCCAAAGCAAACAGTATTAAGGGCTCTATAAAGAAGCTTTTTGAGTTTTGAAATCGCTTCCTGCGTGAAGAAGATATGGTGCGTTCAAGAGAACGCGACCGCTTTGCTGTAGAAAATTTACCAATTTTTYTCAAAAAATCYGCAGAGAGCCATTTCTTGATTTTTTGAGACATTTTCTTAGCAAWTMGCGTTCGACCGAAAAAGAATGAACGAAAACACAATTCCTCTTAACATCTCCTGGAGACGATTCAGAAAAGCTGATATTTGCACAATTGAGACCGCCAAAGCAAAAATAATTCTATGCTCTTTAAAGGGGCTCTTTGAATTTTGAACTAGCTTCTTAYATGACGAATATATAGCCGGTTGAAGACAATGCGTACGCTTTGCAGGCGGAAMTTTTCCAATTTCTRTCCAAAAATTTACTCAAATAGTTACTCAAAGAATTTTCCAGTTATTTCATTAATTATTATCGAAGCTTTTTTTTTGACTGAATAAAAAAAACCAACAGACAGTTCCTCTTAACATCTCTGGAAAACCTGTGGAGGTAAAACAGCGTTTGTTGCGACTTCCGAATAAGCACTCARGACTTAAGACTTTTCTTCACTAAKGCTCCGAAATGCAGTTTAATCACGCTTATTTATKAGATTTTACRAATTTTTYATCAWCCGAGTGCGGATGTCTCGCGATGTCGTCTTTGTACARATGAGTTCCAAAAATGAYTCCTCAAAAACCTGTRGAGGGAAAAWAGCGTTTGTTACGACATYTRAATAAGCACCCTTGTCTTCATTGATGCTCTGAAATTCAGCTTAATCACGCTATTTTCTTAGATTTTACGAGTTTTTYATCATCCGAGTGCGGATKTCTCGCGATSTCCTCTTTGCACAGTGAGTTTCAAAARAACGTTACTCARAAACCGGTAAAGGCAGAAAASCGTTTGYTGCCAYRTCTRAAAAAGCASRCTTTYCTWYACTAGYRCTMTRAAATTCAGTTTAATCGCKCTATTTTCTTGGWTGTTACCCATTTTTAATCAAGTGAGTGCAGAYTTTTYGCGATGTCCTCTTTCYACAGTAAGTGTAAAWAAAACGTTCTTCAAAAAACAGTAAAGGCAGAAAAGCGTTTGTTGCCACASTGAAAAAGCACACTTTTTTTASTAGTGCTCTGAAATTCAGTTTAATCGCGTATTGTCTAAGATTTTACGCATTTTTAGTCTTCCTAGTGCTGATTTCTCGCGATCTCCTCTTTGCACAGTGAGTTTMAAAAAAACGTTTCTCAAAAACAGGTAGAGGTAGAAAASCGTGWGTTGCCACATCTGAAAAAGCTYACTTTTCTTCAGTAGTGCTCTAAAATTCAGTTTAATCGCGCTATTTTCTAAGATTTTACGCATTTTTAGTGTTCCGAGTGCGGAGTTCTCTCAATGTCCTCTTTGCACAGTGAGTTAAAAAAAAAACATTCCTCAAAAACCGATGGAGGTAGAAAAGCGTTTGTTACGACATCTGAATAAGCACTCTTTTCTTTACTAATTCTCCAAAATGCAGTTGAATCGCCCCCTTTTCTTAGATGTTACGAAATTTTAATAATCCGAGTGCGGATTTCCCACCTTGTTCTCTTTGCACAGCGAATTTAAAAATATATTTCCGGAAAATTTGTGTAGGTAGAAAAGTGTTTGTTACCACCTCTGAAAAGGCAATTTTTTCTTCACTAGAGCTCCTAAATTCAGTCTAATTAGCGCAACTTTCTTAGATTTTACGAATTTTTCATCATCTGAGTGCGGATGTCTCGCGGTATCCTCTTTACCCAGCGAGTTTCAAAAAAACGTTACTCAAAAACCGGTAGAGGCAGAAAAGCGTTTGTTATCACATCTGAAAAAGCACACRTTTCTTCACTAGCGCTCTGAAATTCAGTCTAATCACGCTATTTTCTTGGTTTTTATCCATTTTAAGTCTTCCGAGTGCAGATTTTTCGCGATATCCTCTTTGCTCAGTGAGTGTAAAAAAACGTTCTTCAAAAACCGGTAAAGGCAGAGAAGCGTTTGTTGCCACACTGAAAAAGCACACTTTTCTTCACTAGTGCTCCGAAATTCAGTTTAATCGCGCTATTTTCTTAGATTTTACGAATTTTTAATCGCCCGACTGCAAATTTCGATCATTCGTTGAACAGTGAGTTTCAAAAAGACATTCCTCAAAAACCAGTGAAGTAAAAATYGCGTTTGTTGTCTTTTCTTCACTAGTACTCCAAAATGCAGTTCAATCGMCAACTTTTCTTAGAWATTACATACGAGTACATATTTTTAACGATCGTTTGTCGCACAGTGTGGGTTTCAAACCATCAAACTTAAGAACATTAAATATGTCTCTCTCTAKATTCTAGTAGTGTCTAGTTTTCTTGCAGTAGAAGAAATCACAGTTCTTTCGAACCTGTAGTTTGATACCCTCWACTTATTCATTTMAATTTTTCTGAACGTAGCTTAATTTCGWGAGTTAATTTTTGCWTGCGTAGTTYGCTTTTCCAAGCCGAAAACCGAATTGTGGTTGGTAYGCAACTCTGSACTGTTCATATTCGCATCTAAAAGCTACAAAAAAAGAGTTTCCGTTGCAGTTTGAGCATTTTTTAGCAAAGCCTTAAAACCTAAACCAACTCAGCATACCAGGCTCCCCTTGAGCCAAGCAATGCAGGTGAAAGTGAGCTTGTTTCACTTTCCTAGATCTTCTTGTATTAGATCGATTGTTTTTCCAGTCGGATTCCAATGGGAAAAAAGCTGCAAAAGGTCAACGCCCACTTAATCTTGGTGCTTCGACTGTTGCAGCCTGACCCAATTCGAATCAGTTCATCGAAGTGCTGGTAAAGTCGACTCCCGATATTTTTTGGGGGTCGTCGACCTGGTACTGATCCATTGGCTTGAGGTTGACGGCCTGGCACAACCCGAAGTTTGTTTAGGACTCATGTGCCCACCCAGGATCGATCCGTATCAATACGTTGCTTTATTTGTTTGCTCAAGGTACCAAATAAGCAGCGGCGTGTACCAGCTGGCAAAAAACACAGGGCGACTGAAAATTGCTTTTTTCTCAGGGTACCTACATGCTCTGAGAGCTAGAGTATCAGAAAAATGGTTAATAGAATTTAGCGTTTGGTTCCTGTTCAGCGAGTATTCGCCTCAAATAGACAGGAAACAGGCGATTCTATCACTATAAACAGAGATATTTGCAAAAAAACGGAAGCATAAATTTGGCAACAGCTAATATCTTGTCAAATCCTGGTCTGAGAAACAACCAAAAAGGTTGCATGGTGTAGAGAGAGCCAACAGCCGGTTGCAGGTTGGATACTTCGATTTGAAGGCTCACAATTGCCCCTTTTACACTTGTAAAAAATGAGCTTGTATGACATTTTAATTAAAATAATGACATTTGAGCAGCAAATATGGCAACAAACATCAGTTTGAAGCAAGCTTATCGAGAGCGCCTCCTGCAGTACATGATTCGCTTTAAATTCGCTTTGAGACTTTTCTTCTGAGCCTGCCAAGTGAATACTGACACCCGATATATCCAATATTTTCTTAACCACTTACTGTATAATATTCTTGCTTTTTAGCAAAAAAATATGAGAGAAAGAGGACAGACTCAGGAGTTCGAAAAAAATTGGGGGGACATTTTAATTGGTTAACAAACTAGTGTGTGGGTTTATGAGAAAAAATGCACAAATTTGCAACGAATTATGTAGAACATGCCATTTTCCCTATAGGGAATTATTATAATTTTTAATTAAATGTGAAATGGACAAAAAATGCCCAAAAAATGACAATACAAACAGTTGTCACGAACGTCTAATTACGGAAAGCGCTCCGTGCGCTGTTGCCGTATGGTAGTAATATTTGATGTTATTTCTGTCAAGCATTAACCCATGTTTCCTATAGATGTAAATGAAAAATTCTGGGGGAATTATAGTTGCAAATATAATGCAATTTTCTTAATTTTCTTACCTTCAATGCGAGGAAATGTTAATATTTCACTTGCGAAGGATCGCTATATTGCACCTAAATGAAGGTTCACATCCATCCAACATTGAAAAGATTTTTCACTTTGTGGAAAAGAAATGGGCTGTTGATCGTGGACAAACTTTAGGTTCAAAGCTAAATGCGTATTGAGGATTGCTTTGTTTGCAGAAAGATTTGAAAAAAAATGTTGCATTCAACAGTYACCATTCTTGAATTTACAAACTGGTCTAAAATRACCTACAAAATATGACTCAAAATKGTAAATGCAAATTAGTTAAGTTGTTTATTATGTTTTATGAACCTACTGAATTAACCTATTGAACCTACTTATCGAAAAATTTCAMGTGATACTTTYCYTAAAAATATCTCAAAGCCGTAAATACTAATAATGTCAAACAGATTCCGCYTGCAAAACYGTAAATAAATTAGATAATAGTGGACAATTCKTTTTCTTCRAAATCTCTGCCWAAAAAACGCGCGAGTAACTGGACAGAAATGACGGATCTAGTACAGAAAACTGACATCAAACAACATGGCAACAGCGTACGGAACGTAATTAGATGTTTGTTTCTGTTACGTGTTCTGTGTATTTCGTATATTTAAGAACAGCTAACCTTTATTTCGTTCAGTGACAGCCGTCATATTCTACTGCAGGGACGATTATTGACAAATCGATCTTGTTGGAACCAAAAATTGTTCAACGTGTACGGAAATTTCGCGATATATTGGAGAAATCGCGCAGAATAAAACGTTTCGGGTTAAGTTTCCGTGCGAGTGGTGAAAATCGTGCAATTTCGGAGTCGAGTAGTTTAAGTGAACGAAATGATTTTGACGAGAAAGAACTGTTCTTATAGCAACTTCTGATAATGTATTTGCTGGATTTCAACAAGACAACAGTTTGGAGCTCCTGAAAATGCAATAAATACGTATTTGAATAAAGGAGTAAAACGCAAATGGACATGGATCTCCCCAAATGGAGCGAAAAAAAAATATTTGAAGATGCAACTGCACTTAAATACTCAACCAGTAGCGGCTGTCGTATGCTAAGAGCCAAAATGGCAACAGGCAAACTTGAGGAAAATAAATCAATACAAAAAACCAATGACAATCGACCATAACAAAAATAAGACAAAACGCTGATGGTTGTAGACGGATTCTAAGAAATAACCATAGACATCAATGAGAAACGGAACAGTTAGATATTAAAAAATCAATGAAGAACTGAAAGAAAGAACTTATAAGCAGGAATAAGAGTGCCTAAACAGGAAATCAAAAGAAAATAGACTAAGTGATGCGGCAACCAGGCTGAGGAACAATGGGCGAAGAAGACTAATTAGTTCTAATAAGAGAAGAAAAACAAAAGAAGGCATTAGAAAAATAATGAAAATGAGATCGAAATAGTAATTGGAAGGAACAGATGCCTAAAATGCTTGCAACCGAATTTAGAAAATGGACAACTGCTTATTTCACTAAGATATTGAACAGCAAGAGAACTAAGAGAATCAGAACAGTCTGACCAGGAACCAACACTCTTGGAAGCGGGCGAAAGTCAGGCAGCCGTCATGCTGATTGACTCGCCAGCAGCGGAACAGAGCTCTGCTACAGGTGAGTCAAAGGCTGACCGAGTTGTCAACGAAAGGAAGCAGCAGAGGAGCACAAACAGGACAAAGAAGCACAGAAGAGGCAACGGAGGGAAGGGACGGATTCCCGCCAGGGGAAACACCCAGCCACTCCGAAGCCAAACCGGCAGCGAGTTGTAGAATTGTAACTGTAGAAGATTCACGATACGGAATGCTGAAAAAGTGGATTTTCAGGTGTTGACGCACTAATACCAATACGTTGTTGCGTCAATAAACGCGCTAACGCATTTTATGATGCAGTGAACTCATAATACAACAAATGTGTTGGGAGATAACAGAGGACCTCGGTTTACCTGATGTGTAGTGGTCCGTCGGCCCATGCACCATGGGCTTTTAAGCAGTGCAACAGTTGGGGCATTCGAAATACGGATATTTAAAAGACGTCCGATCATTGACAGGTGACCAGTGACATGCAAACTTAACCTCAATGTGTGCAATTGCTCACACGTGCAATTACAATATTTCTCTTAATCCTAAGCTCGTTCAGTTCGTCAAAATCATCTGGTCACAACGAAAATAACTGAAGAAAAAAGTCCAGAACTGGTTAAAGCGAGCTAATGGGCGCGTAAAATATGAATTGAGAGCTCAAAAGTTTTTTTTTGTTTATCATTTAACTTTTTGTCGTTTAATTTTTAAATTTTTAATTTATGTGTAGTTAGATGCACCTGATTTTTTTTCTTGTCTCACTAGCGAATTTTCAGAGAAATAATCCGAATATTTGGGTGATTTAACAGGTGTCGAAAATGGTTGCAATAACACAGTTTTCATTTGGGAAAGAAAAAAATTTAGTTTTTGCGCCCGAAGTAGTTTTGGTTATCGGGAATCGTATGATGACTGCGCGCCGCCTTCACAAATGCGCTTAAATTTAAGTGTTATTCAAGGTGTTGGCCTGACATTTAGCTCATTAACGCAAACAGCGGCATCAACACCAAAGCGTCACACAACACAGTGTTACCCAGGCCTCATCAGAACCGACGGATGTGGATGTTAATGCTTTGAAATGAACAGAATTAAACATTTAGTTTAATGTTGGGTTAGTTAGTGGTACAGTTTGGTTTAATACTGAACTTTGGGATAATCAACCAACGGCAAACGTTTTGGACGGACCCGATTTAGATGATTGAAAATTCGTTCAAAAGCGAGTGATTTTGTCTAAAAATCGTATTTTGCAAACTTGAAATCAGTTGAGAAACTTGAGTTATAAGAGTTTGAAAGTCGAAATTTTTCAAGACAAACTTTAGCAATGCTTCCTTTGTGGATTTATAGTCGCATTTTTTTTTGGAGAAACAGCTGTATGTATGTAAAAGTTTTCTGCATAATTGTTAATATCGGGCCGATTTGAAAATTTTAAAATTTGTTGAAAAACGTACGATTTTCCATAAAAACTGAATGTCAGAAAATTGCAATCGGTTGAAAAACTCTTTAAAAGCCCACATATTTGGGGACAAAACTGTTTCAGGGCCAACGTTCATTTTGGTCACCGTTTCAGCGCCAGCGGAGTTTAAATTTTCAAAGACGCTGGCTGTTCCTGGAAATAGGCCCTTTGCTGCCATTTTTATCCGCCAACCAAGGGTTTTTAACTTAAAAATGTATTTTTTAGAAGGTACCCAGTGGTTTAAAAAAACTTTTGCAATTTAAAAAAAAATTTGAAATTTTCGAATTTTATGAAAATCGCAAATGTGCAACTCTTTCTCTTAAGAGTCGAATTTAGACCGAAATGCCACTATCCATTAACATAGTCTTCGTATATAGTTTCGGCGAAAATCGGATTTGAAGTTAGGGAGATTTAAACTTCCACCTACATTGTTTACACGCTTATTTGCCCATAACTCCGCCACTGTTGAAAATATTTGAAAAAGAAAAATTGCACTAGGTTGCCACGGGCATTCGCTAGAGCTTAGCTGTCTGGACAAAAATCCAGACTGACAATAGTTTGGGAGATAATAAACCCTGAATGTTGGCAACCGTTCGACTATTCCATCTGCGCATACCTCCACACTTTTGCCCGTAACTTCGTTAACTGGCAAGATATTTCAAAAGTTTCAAAACCCCCAAAAAGCCCGAATGAAAACGATTCCAGCCTTCTATTGGATAGCGGCAACAGCAAAGAAGTAAAACAAATTCGAACTCACAGTGTTCCACCTTGTAAAAAAATCTTTAAGAAATTAATATTAGTTGAAAAGAGTGACATTTATGAAGACTTTAATGTCGAATATACGATTTTCCAAGCAAAATATTCTCAGTGAAAACATTTCCAGTGCATTTAAGGCCGAATACCCGAAGTTTTGAAAGAATATATTTTTTTTCCGTGAAGTGGCTTTCTTTGTGTGTATTTTTTAATTGCACTTACGTTTCTTTTATCAATCAGTCATGATCTTAGCGTGGTGACAATTTTCCAATTATAATTCAAAAATTTACATATTTCATTCTGTTGATAACAATCGGTTAGAATCAAGGACAAAATCCGTCAACAATTGAATAGAAGCCTGTCCGGACTGCATCTCTACCACATGACCTCCCCTGTCCGCTAAACAATTTTTCGTTTCAGAAACGTACATTAAAATCCCGAAACGTTTCAGTTACCTGCACTAAATGTTTCAGAAATGTTTATGTAACTGTAAATGTCCGCCCTCAGAAACGTTTCGCTGAAACATTGCAGAAACGTTTCGTTGAAATGTTACTGAAGCGTTGCGCTAGACGTTATTTAAACGTTGCAAATAAATATTTTGTAACATTATACATGGTGTATC